CCCCAAAACCCCAAAACCCCAAAACCCCTAATAAATTCTAAGAATTGAGCATGGATTTCAGTAAGATTTAGCTAGCTACTTAAATTTGATGACTTTATCGCCCAGCATATGGGCCATCTTAAAGATTGCTTGTGATGCTTCTATAGGTGGCACAGTGCAGAGCTATTAATCAAGCTATTATCCTACCTCTTCTTTTATAGCAGCCTTTGTCTCTCTTTTCTTTGAAGGACTTTGAAGATTGAGATTGGTTGGGCTTGGATCCTCTAACTTCTGGCTTGACTGCTCTAGCTTGATTAGTCTGGGCGGAATGAGACGAAGAGGTAAAATGAGCTTATTTGGCAGAACTACAAATGAACCCTAAACTATGTCAAACTGCTGCTTACTGCTTTTGGATCTTGCTTCTTTTGTGAAGAGGCATTAAAATCTTTGGTCCCTTTTTCAGGGTGAAGTTCTGCCTTGGAGCTTTGATAATCTGATTGATCTTCTGTAGGATGATTCTTATGCTCCTCCGACTCCTCTTGGCTTTTGCATTCTTGATTTTTGTCAGACTTATCATTCAGCATTTCTGGCTGTTTCTCGGTGACTGATAAATTATGCTTCTCATGTTTTTTCTGGGCTTGAATTAATGCTTCACGCATACTAATATGATGAAAGAGTCTCTTACTCATTCCTGTATCTTCTTTTTACTCTAGTATAGTTGTAAATATCAAGATTTGGGGCAAACTTATTTCATTTTGGCGATTCCAAGTTTACTGATTTTGCCATCCCCAAAGAATCTGAGAGAGTACCTGGTATCCCATGAATTCTTACTTGCTTTTGGAGAGACCTGGCGGTAAAGATATTATCTACATGGTTACTAGGACTGTTGAGCTTACCTGAGCTGGCCAATATGGATATCCTCTGACCTTACCCCAAACAACTTCATTAAGCTTGAATTGATCTGACATTTTACTAATTTTTATTTGATTCAATTTGTCTTATCTCAAATGGGGTTTTGGGGTTTTGGGGTTTTGGGGTTTTGGGG